AAACATATCCTAGCGATAGTGAGGTGTAAGGTATTTTTTCTGTATTGCGTTCATCTTCTCGTATTTAGTCATCTTATCACTATCTTCTCTTTTCCTCTCTCTACAAAATTTTCCACCATAGGGAAGCACTCTTCTTCAGTTTAATGGTGCCTAGCTTGACTCGTCTATCCTCTGATACCTCATTATACTCGAAGATCTGTATAACAGTTTGCAAACACTCAAGGAATTCATCTGGATCCATACCTCCTTCAAACTTGTGTAAATCCACCTTGATTCCATAATCTCTGTGTCCTCCTGCTGGTATCTCTTCTCAAGAATTCTTTCTGAGAGAGGGATTCAGATATCCTTCTCAAGGCCTCCTTTGATATTGGATACTGAAACGTTTTGGCCTGTCATCGTTGAACGTATCCCCATAGAAGGGTTTCAGATTGTCATTTCTTTCTCCCCTTCGACTCTCTAAATTTGGGTCAAAAGTAAACCCTCTTCAATATCCGCAAATCTCTATTGAAGAAGACTAAGCTCTCGCCCTATCTCCTACTCGATAGGCTTAGGCATGTATCTTGCTTGAGGCATGGATAGAGTTTAGGGTGGGGAGGTGAAAGAGAGTGTAGGAGACTCATTGATAGTGTAGAAAATTTAATTTGTTGTTGCTGATTTTAAAAATCAGCAAGGGTTTAATTAGGGGTAGGCTAAATTCTTGCTGGATGTTTGGGAATTGGAAAGAAAAAATTTTGGAGGTGACTTGGGTAGGATGTTTGGGAATTGGAAAGAAAAAATTTTGGAGGAGGTGACTTTAGGATAGATGCTAGGAACCCTATGATGAGACTAGGGTTAACCTGACTTTGATACCAAATGATATCGAAACTAGTAGGAAAAACAATGGAAAAACAAAAATAAACTGTTATTAATGTGTAGAGAATGTTACAACACAATACAACATAAAATAACAACACAAAACATAAACAACATAAGCAAACTAAGGTTTGTTCCAAGAGCGGTGGAGGTCAGCTAGGTGGATCGGGTTGGTTGGCAGGGGTGGTGGCAGAAAAGAAATGTTGGTGGCAGCAAAGGAATGTTGGTGGCAGAACTACAAAGACAATAATGATGGAGGGATGGTAGCAGGTTTTGATGTAGAACAACGACGAACGAGGCTGGGATGAAGGCTGAGAAGGGAGGACAACAATGCGAGATTGTAGGGACAAGGCGGTTGAAGGCTGGGTTAATGTCCGGGAACTGGATAACAAGAAAAAGCACTTGGAGGAAGGGTGGCTGGGTGTTATGTTGAAGTATGAGGTGGTCGGAGGTGGAAGAGAGAGGAGAAGAAGGGTTAGGTAAAGTTAGATGGAAAGATACAACACCACCTTGGAGTAGGATATAGTCGGAGCACATCACCTCCTCAAATACAGCCCTAGAATAGGGAGAACACTCCACAAGAATCTGGAATCTGCAAAACCAATACTGACCTAACTCTCTCAAACAACAATATATGGACTTTAATAAAAGAAAAAAGGGAAAGAATAGGAAAAGAAATTCCAACACGATATAGGGGAATACACCAGAAAATAGCCATTAAAGGACTTCCATAACTAGAAAAGCGCTCGGTGGCCTCGCCCTTCTATGCATCTTCCCTCCCCCCCCCCCCCCCCCCCCTCTCTTTTTCGAGACTTGTTCTTGACCGGTTCCCTAGACCAGCGAGGAGATATCCAGCCGGTTCAACCGGCTGGCAATTTTAGCACTTGCGTTAGGCGCTATTAGCAACCTGCTACAGAGACGCTATTAGCGTCCCGCATTAGGAGCGTTGTTAGCACCCCACGTCAACACATTTTTTAAAATGATCCACAACATACAAGAGACGATTTGGAGAAGATGGCACTCATCCTTGTAGAGGACTACTAGGATTGTAACTTTTTAAAGAAGAATTCATTGAAGGCCTGAAAAATTTATGCAACAAAAGCAAAAAAGTCAGATGAACAAACCATAAGCATAATGAGAATTTGATAAAGAATTTTAACTACAATTATTTATTTAAATTTTAATGTTCTAATTTTGTATAAGACTTTGTTTGTGTTTCAAGTTAAAGACTTGCATGAAAAAATCTAAAAATTTTAAATTTCAAGTGAATTTGAGTATTATGAAAAACATTTTGAAAAATCATGAGAGAAATAATGAATTGCAAGATTTGCAATTAGTTAAATATTTTAAGATGAGTTTTCAGGGTTTTTAAAATATTATGGGTTGATCACTACGATCCCCCACGTCTTGTATTTTAAATTTTTTAAAATAGATTTAAGGTTTTGTATGAACCTATTTATGTATTTTTGTGTTGAATGAAAGTAATAGTTAATTGAATAAAAATTTAAGTTTTCATCAAGATTTAGAGGCTTGGTGGCTAACCAGAAAAAATGAAGATCTGACGTTATTTCACCATCTACTGCTTCGGTGGTGACAGATTTATTTATCATTGTGTTCTTTATTTTTCTCTTCCAGTGAAAATCAAAATCATGGTGGGGAAATTTTGCTCTTTCTTTCCTCTACCACTTCAAAATTCCTCCATCTCTAAAATTCTCACAAAATCTCTGCTTAAACCCCACTAAAAATGGTTGGTCAATCCTAGCCCAAATCTGACCTAATCTTATTTTTTTGGCTACTTGCCCTTAAACCCTTAAAAAAATTGTGTAAGGCTCTACAATTAATCTAATCACATTTTCATATCCTTGGTAGAAATTTTCTCTAATTGTCACAAGCCCTAAACCCTTTTACTAAAGTTAAGTATCTACACAAGCACTATTGCCATATTTGGTTTTGACATAACTTGGTCTCCAATAAAAATCCAAAAAAAATATAAAAAAACTTCATAAAATTTCAAGAAACTTCTCATACCATATCTAGACATCCTAAGCTATGATTCCAAACTTTTGTAAGCCCAAGGGTTACAAATATTTTCCACAAAAGGATTAAAATTGGATCTAAGGTTTGATATTTTTAGGTTGAACCCTGTATGCCCATATTTGGTTTTGACATGACTTGGTCTCCAATAAAAATCCAAAAAAAATATAAAAAAACTTCATAAAATTTCAAGAAACTTCTCATATCATACCTAGACATCCTAAGCTATGATTCCAAACTTTTGTAAGCCCAAGGGTTACAAATATTTTCCACAAAAGGATTAAAATTGGATCTAAGGTTTGATATTTTTAGGTTGAACCCTGTATGCCCATATTTGGTTTTGACATGACTTGGTCTCCAACAAAAATCCAAAAAAAATATAAAAAAACTTCATAAAATTTCAAGAAACTTCTCATACCATATCTAGACATCCTAAGCTATGATTCCAAACTTTTGTAAGCCCAAGGGTTACAAATATTTTCCACAAAAGGATTAAAATTGGATCTGAGGTTTGATATTTTTGGGTTGAACCCAGTATGGCCAACCAATAATTTGGGCTTTTCCCTTATTTTATGCATCCCATAATCCCTTGCTTTTACACATTCCATATCATATTTTGAAACTTTCTAACAAAAAAGAACTTAATAACTCCAAAGCAAACCTTAAGCCTCCCCTCACCATCATGTTTTAAAGGCAAGAATTGTTTGTTCATTATCAAAATAAGATGGATTAGCATGCTTAGTGAGCCATAGAATATGTGAAAGAGCCATGATAGAATCAACCATTACCTAAGCTTGAAAACATTGTAGAGATGTGTAGGAACTAAAGAGAAACTCGACCAAAAAAAATTCCTTATTTTATTTTTGCCAATGGTATCAGTGATAAAAGGGGCGATATTGAAATTCAAAATATTTATGTTTTAATGTACTAATATAATGTTAAGAAGAATATTTTAATGTAAAGAAAAGTCAAGGAAAAATAAGTACAACTAAAGATATTGTTGTCTTAAAATGTGGAACCAATAAAATACAAAATCCCTTTGGCAAACTCCTAATACATAGCAATGAAGGCAATTTGAGATTATCAAGCATCCAAGTGAGAATAGCAAAGTCAAACGCCTGTCATTTTATATATTTGGTGGTATCCATTAATTCAAGAACCAAGAGTCCAAATAATGAAGTTTTTCATGGAAATTGATGAGAAAACAAAAATCACAAAATCACAATATAGATAGTACTATCGAGTTTGAAAGTGATATCAATATTGAAGGAAGTTTTGGAGAGAGGTAGAATAAGCCATCAATGAGTAAAACAATGAGTTAATTAAAAATAAATCGAAAAGCCATGTTTGGAAGAGGTTGCCAAGAAGAAATCACAAAATGAGATTTTTAGAGAAATATGTGCAAAGATAATGTGAGAAAGAAGAATACATGCACAAAGAAGCAAAAAATGCAGGGCAATAAATAGAGATGAGCTAGTGCATGCACAAGGAGCATTCAAATGCGCTTAGAACATAGAAGGTGTGTGTTGCAGGTGCAAGACAAAAGTTATCCAGTAGTTAGCAGGCATAGCATTTGGGAGCAATGGTGATATGTCCGTGTAGCAGGCAAGGCTCGAGAGAAACAAGCTTGCAATCCTTTAATTGCAATTAGATTGTAGTGTTGTTCACTTGTTCAAGCAACGTAGTGGGGGCACAAGTAAGAAATGAAGGGATGGGAAGGGACAAGTGGAGGGATAAGATTGATCGCTAAGCCCTAATCAAGCTCTTGATACCATGTTAAAAGTGATTGAATACTACTTCAACTCTTTTATTATAATAAAAAAGCCCAAATGTAGAAAAATACACCAGTTAAATTTGAAAAAAATTAAAGGCTCAATTAAGAACGAACATTCTGGAATAAAGATAGCAGATTCAATAATAAATAATTTTTAATCTAGTGAAATCTCCACTGAATATAACTAATGTGGTTAGGCCTTCGCATAAAAGCTACTGAGAAAAATACAAAAATTATGCAAGAAAACTATGCAAAATATATAATAGAAAACATAACATGTAGCTAAAAGATACATTTAAAGTTATACGTGCAAATTAAATTAGCAAGTCCAAGCACAAACCTGTATTGAAATAACACCCCAATCCTGTAAAATCTTGCCAAGTTTGCGCCTTTGCCACGCATTGTTAGTACAGAGGATTTTAATCAAGTTTATCGTCAGCTATCCGTCAAAAATAGAAAAAAAGATGTTTTACCCTCAACAAACATCTTTATAATACAAAAATATATGTAGAGAAAGAAAGCTTACCAGACCTAGCTGCACTACAAATTCATTTTCCTGAAATGTCTGACCCCTTGCAACTTCAGGCGCTGCTAATTCCCTTGAAATGACCTCATGGAAAGAATATTTCCCATATAACTTCCCATCTTGAACTAACAAAAGCTGTTCACCGGTTAGCAAAACAAGTAAAATAAACACAAGAAAAATAAGGTTGGACAACAAAATAACACTGCCATTTTACCCATCAGAATAATAGAAACTTTTGGCTAAAGTTATAGTAAATAACTTTATTATGATTCCTTCCAAACCACCCCAGATCAATTAGAACGAGAAAACTAACCCCAAAAGACAAATTAGGTTGGTATTTTTTGATGTAAACAATATTATTTTTATAGGTTCAGACAATTATTAACGTGATCGTGCAGTTGTTAATGTTGATTCATTTCACATGTCCTTTATCAGTAACTAAGGTTCATGATATGAAAAATTACTACGCACCGATTATGTAGTACAAAAATTAAAAGTATGATTTCAAAATGATCATATCAGTCACACATAACAAAAATTATTTAAACGGAATTATCAACAGCACCAGTATCTACTGTGATGCAACTGTCATTATTTATGTGCTATAACACGCCAAATATCTCTAACTTGCATGAAAGTTAAATAGAAAAAAAGGATACCTGCTAATATGAAAGAAAAGAATAAAAACAGAAACCCCCAAACAGCATGAAATAAATAAAAGTAATGTAAGAATAGGAAACTACCGATTATAATAGGTAATATCAATAATTTAATCAATAAATAAAATCCAAAATTAGGTACCCAACTATTTATATGTGATCAATTTAGCCCAGATTATCACATTTCTCTAATTTGGTTTCTCAACTACGCAAAATTAATCCAAAATGGTCCCTAATGAACAAAATTGGAATAGATTTTGCATGGTTGATGGACAAAATAGGAATCAATTTCATAAAATGATTTATACGAGAGAGATCATTGTGAATCAATTTTACACAGGCAGGGAACTAAATTATAGAAATGTGACAGTTTAGAACTAAATTGGCCACAAACAACAAAGAACATTTGGAATTTTTATCATTATAATTTAGACCTCTTTATTCCACTTTATGGATTCATGCCTAGGCTTGCAAGCCTAATGACCTCCTTTGCTAAACAATAAGGTTCAAAACTCATATCATAAGAATTAGAAAAATAACGACAATTGTTGAAATGTGAATTGAATATACAATTATTTATGCAAAATTTAAGTATTTTTTAATTTATATATATTTAACAATAAATTATTTTTTTTTGTATTGACTAAGAAGGCTAGAACTAACATTTGAACTAATCAAATGGCAACGAGTCAAACTCACCGATCATCAGGCTAAAATAATTAGTAAAAGCTTAGTAAGGAGATGAACTTGTTTCAAATGGTATCTGTCAGCAGCAATAAGAAATCAATCCCAGTAAGAGTTTTTTCATCAACAATATTAAGCAAATAATTTTAGAGAATGCATAAAACTAAATAATTTTTTTTTTAATTTCATAATAAAAATGAATAATATCGTTAACAATAATAAAACGTTTCATTTTTACCGTCGTATTACTAGAAAAGAATTTGAGGAGGATTTAAAGAAAACCAAGGGGGGATAGTCTGTAAGACCTGATGATATCTCAATTAAAGTGTGGAAATATTTAGGAGATTTGGGAATTTCTTGGCTTACTAAACTCTTTAATATTATTTTAAAAACTAAAAAGATGCCCGAGGAGTGGAGGAAGAGTATTTTGGTCCCCATTTTTAAGAATAAAGGGGATGCATAGGAGTGTGCAAATTATAGAGGAATTAAGTTGATGTGTCATACTTTAAAATTATAAGAGAGGATAATTGAACATAAATTAAGACGTATTACAAAGATTTCTCATAATCAATTTGGATTAATGTCGGAAAGGTCTACCATGAAAGCTATACATTTATTGAGAGGTTTGATGAAAAAGTTCATAGATAATAAGGAGGACCAACATTTGATTTTTATTGATTTAGAAAAAGCTTAGGATAAGGTTCAAAGAGATATCCTTTGGAGAGTTCTTGAGAAGAAAGGTGTTGGTATGACTTATATTCAACTCATTAAACATATGTATACTAGAGTTGTTAATTCGAACTAAAGGAGGAATGACAAAATATTTTCCTTTTTTTATTGGATTCCATCCGGGATCGACTTTAAGCCCATATCTTTTTTGCTTTAGTTATGAACGGTCTTACTGGACAATTACAGGAGGATGTACCTTGGTGTATGCTTTTTATTGATGATATACTTCTCGTGGATAAGACGAGAGAAAGAGCTCGGGAAAAACTTGAATTATGGAGGTCTACATTGGAGTCTAAAGGCCTTCATTTGAGTAGAACTGAAACAGAATACATAGAGTGTAACTTTAGTAGTAGTAGCTCTAGTAATAGAAGGGTAACTTTGAGTGATCAAATTATTAAAAGGTGTGAATAATTTAGATATATCGGCTCTGTTGTTCAAAGCGTGGTGATATAGATGGGGATGTTAATAGTAGAATTCAAGTTGGTTATTCAAGTTGGTTATCAAGTTGGTTAGTTGAAGTGGAGGAATGCTTCGAGCCTTTTGTGTGATAAAAATGTTCCACTTAGACTGAAAGTAAAATTTTATAAGACGGTGGTGAGGCTTGTAATGCTCTATGGCGTTCAATGTTGGCCTTCAAAAGAGAAGCATAATGCTGAGTTGAGTGTTGCGGAGATGAGAATGATTAGGTGGATGAGTGGCATTACACATAGAGACAAAATGAGAAATGAATATATCTGTGATAGGGTTTGTGTAGCTCCAGTGACAGACAAAATTAAAGAGAGTCATCTTAGATGGTTTGGTCACATTAAACGTCAACCATCTGATGATTCGATTAGGAGAGTAGATGTTATAGATTCGACTTATGTTAAGAAAGGCAGTGGTAAACCTGGGAAGACTTGGGCTTATTGTATTAAAAATGATCTTAATTTATTAGAACTAAATAAAAATATGACACTAAATAGAATGCAATAGAGAAAAAGGAATCATGTAGCCGACCCCACATAGTGGGATGAATGCTTTGTTGCTGTTTTTATTGTTGTACAAGAAAAATAAATAAGACATAGTATTCATAAAATAACGTGTAATATATTTTCAAAAAAATAGTAAATCTCCAAATAGTTTTTTAAAAATTACCATAAAAGTAGCATGATAATTTAACAGAGAGATAAATCAAGAAGAATAATACCACTAGATTTACTAATCCATAATCACTATTTAAAATAAGTAAAATGACAGCAAAATAAGGCATAATACTTATCTTTTAACTGACACGTTTTACACTAATAATTTATAACAATACAAGCTGAAGAATTTAGAAAATAGATATGAAGAACTACAAGGGAATATGAAAAAAAAAGGGTGCAAGATTAAGAGTAAGAGTAGGAGCTGGAACTGAGTTATTTTGCCAGCAGTAAAAAAAATAAAAATTGATCGTCATTTTAGAAATAAAAAAGGTGGTATTTTTTATGTGATATTAAAACTGTGGGTGGTATAAAATGTAAAAATTAAACATTAGGTGTTAGATGTGTGACTACAAAAGAATTGGGTGGCATCTCTGTAAATGCAAACATGAAACAATATGTAGAATTGTTTGGCAAAAATTGGATACACGGATCTAACAATACTAACAGTTCTTTTGCAAAAATGTAAAATAAATTACAAAAGTTTTGATGATACCTGGAGATGAGCTCTTGCCACTAGATCAGGTTGTGATTTCTGAAATTGGACCAAAAACTGCAGAATGTTATCCAGCAACGGATCAAGTGGAAACGAAAAAACAGCATCCAGATCATTCAGAAGCTTTTCAAAGTACTCAATAGCCTGTAATGTGAAATAGAGGGAATATTCAACAAAATTATTGATCCTGAAATAAAGTCCGTTGCCGGTACCTACTCCAATAAGAACATATTTTTAGGCTAGGACTAGTGAAACAAACTAATAATTTTTTAAAAAAAAGGGGCATTTGCATTCGTACCACCTAATTCCTATGTATTTACATATCTACATATCTAACACCTAAACTTTGAAACTTTGATTTTTACATTTACACCACCCAAATCTTTCATATCACATAAAAAATACCATTATTTTAACTTTTAAAGAGTGGAATACACCTAATCATGCATAGTGTTTTTTTTTCTATTTAAAAAAAAAAACTTTTCATGCATAGGTAAGGTAGCAAAAATGTAAAAATTGACGTTTAGGTGCAAGATGTGTAAACACGTAAGAATTAAGTGGTATGCATGTAAATCCTTCCAAGAAAAAACAATTTTATAACTCTAGCTATCTTCTCTTATGGCTCACTTCTTTCCAGCTGAGAATTTGGATTGCTCGTGGAGGAGTTGGAGTAGACAATCTGCTATTTAAATTAGCATCAAAACCAAATGGCTGTCTTCCTGACGCAGTTGTCTTACATTCAATTTCACCGGGAATAGCTCTACAAGCATTAGATCTGAGGAATTCCATTGACTTTGACATAGAAGCAAGCTCACAGAGACATGATATTGCATGCTTTTTTGCCAACTCGAGACCCCTTCCTTGAGGCTTTCTCATGCACACAAGGGCATGATAAAAATGCTGAGATAAAAAAAAATGGAAGATAATGTAAATTTATGTACAGATAAACTAAATGGTTATCACTGATGGAAGGCTTGAATGCATTAGTGAGTTTAACAGAAATCAACCGAAAATATTCAAAATCACAACAAACAAACAGTTAGTTCCTTGAGGCTTTTAAAGTTTCCGCTAAAATTGACCTACGAACTGCACCACTTACTCGAATATGGACTAAAAATGCTAATGGAGTATTCAACTGTCAAAGCTAGATCTACATAGCAAGGTCCAATTATAGCTTAAATAAATTACTATTTGCGACAATTAGAAATTTCATCCCAACTATTACTTATAAAAAATAAAAAAATGCGTGAAAAGTGAATCATTGGTAACACAGACATTAGCAGTTTGTTAATCTAAATTAAATATGAAAAGATCAGCCCAGAAATGCAAAATTTAATAGTTTCACGCAATCTGTAACTGCAAGAAGGGATTATTATTGAAATCCTGATCCTGTCTCAATTCTTCTAGCCAAACAGGACCACCTCTTGAGATTTTGTAATGCCATAGTGTGCACAAAAAAAGAGTCAAGACAACGGAAAAAATGAAAATATTGAAACAGATAAATCGATTGATTATCTGTGGAAAGTTTGACATCATAGATGATTTCAATGAAGAATATCATCAGAAGAAATACTCATGAAAGGGAAAGAATAGCTTTCATTCTATCTAGTAGAATAGAATTATTTACAAAGTCTAACAAAAGGGCATTTGACTAATAAAGTAGAAGTTGCGGCTAGAAAATAGGAATGGCCATTTAAGAGAATAAGATATTAAGAGATAATATGACAATGCCGTAATTTCCAAAAATATCTTCTAGAAATTGTGTTCTGGGGTTCAAAGAAAACGCATCCTTATAGTCAAAGATGTAGCTCTGAAAGTTTTTGTTTGGAAATATAGTCATTAGTAGTTCGTTGGTATAAACTTTAAATGGAAAGATGTAATAGGTTTAGAAAAGCAAAATTTATTTGTATTCATACAAACTATCAATGCAAGGGTACAAAAAAACCTAATGCAACTTCTCCGCCAGCTAATGAGTGTTGAAAAAAAAAAATTGTTATATTCATTAAAAAAAAAGAAAGGCTACTGTCTATCAATCGGTCAGTCCCTTTTTATAAGAAAGGGAAGATGACGAGAGAGAGAGAGAGAGAAAGGGAGAGGGAGAGAGAGAGAGAAGGAGAATGTGTGTGTGTTTTCTTGTAGGTAAGAATGTGAGAGAGATAAGGATCAAATAAGTGAGAGCAGAACAAAGAGCAAAAGACGAGGGCCCCGTTTGGGGCAGCTTATTTGGGTGCGATGGCGTTTTGAAAATGCCGCCGCGCTGTTTGGAAAACGATTTCGGAGGGCGTTTCCAAAACGCCGCGACGCGCGGTATTTTATTTGTGCTACGGAGTCGCACGCAAGGCAGGGTATGCGTTCGGCGTTCATGACTGACGTTTAGGGCTCGAATTCTTCCCGTGCTCTTGGGTGATCTCTCTCGCGCTCTCCCTCGTCCTCTCCATGCCCGATCTTCTCCCTTGCGCAAACATCGATTCGATCGTTCCTCTGGTGAGATCTATGTGCTGCTATGCTTTCTGGTTAATGGCTCGATCTTCTCCTTGCGAACATCGATTCGATTGTCTTTCTATTTTTTTTTTGCAAGATTCGATTAATGGTTTAGGGTTTTCTTGAGGATGTCTTTATTGGATTATTTTGGAATGCATTGGATCTGTGTTCCAGTGCACTTTCAATTTATTTTTTTTCTGGTAATATCACAAGAATGACAGACGAGCAAATCCCTTGAATGCATTGGATTTGTGTTCCACTGCACCTGTTATAATGTTCTGTGAGTATTTCTGTTCGTATGACTTCGGGTATACCCTTATATATGGGCTTCAGTTGGTTGGTGATAGGGTCATTTGGAAAATTTCTTCTTTCTGTTCCTATGTTAAAATTTCATTGCTCGAAATGTTGGAATTGGAAAATTGGAATTTTGGAATGCTTGGGATCTATTTTTTTATTGCAATCCATGGAAATATTTTTAATTCTTGTTATTTTTGGAGAAGAAACAATACATGCCACTTCATTTCCAATGCAAATACTATTCAATGTTAGCAGAAAATATAATGGAGGATTTACATACATTCCACTCTATAATGAGGCATTTACATACATTTCACTCTTTAGTTAAGAGGATATATCATGGGGCATTTCTTTGAATGTTGTTCAGTTGTATAATGGGGAATTTATTGGCCTTGGAGTCCTATGTATATGGCGTTGGTGTTGAGATGAGTTGCAAGCTATCAATGGAATGGTGCATTCTTTGAATGCTTTCCACTTTTGATACTCTGCTTGATACTCTGCTCTTTAGTTAAAAAATATATCATGGGGCATTTACATACAGAACCCGCAATTCTTTGAATGTTGCGCTTTAGTGCATGAATTCTCTCATTTTCATTTCTGTGTTGATGAATTATTTCTGTTTGGGTTTTAGAGCATCGAGTTGGTATATTTTTATGGGGTTTTCTAGCTTCCTTAGATGCTGAGGCTAGAGAGAAAATACAGTGCTTATATTTTAAAACTACGAGTTGTATTAGTCTTTAGAGCTATGGTTTGCATTGGTCTTTTAACATTGTGATTATATTTTTTATAAGAACACTCATTATGGTTATGATGATGACTGTAGATATGAGTATCTCGTTTACTTATCTAAATGATGGAAATGCATATTTGTAGTTGACAATGAAGAAAATTATTGTCACACTTGGCAATTGCTTCGAGTGGAATTATATTCCACGACAAGTATGAGAATGTGCATATCAAATATAAGATGTGTATTGCTTTATTGTCACACATGTACTTCAGTTGGATGTCTTTCAATGTCATTCAGTCAGTATATGAAAGATGTCTATTGCTTTATTGTTACACATGTACTTTAGTTGTATTGTTCTTCCTTGAGAATCATAATTATGTACTCTTATACAATTGCATAATAAAACACGTTTGATGTCTTACTGTGGATGTAGGTTTTTGACCGAACCACATAATTCCTTTGTGTCATTTTTTATTTTTTTATGAGCAAATTTGGACAATGTTGTTGGTATGGGTGGCAGCAGAAGTTGTCAAGTTTTTTACTATTTCTCTTCTAAGTCATGTACAAAGTTCGATGTCTTTCATCTCTTGTTGACTCATTTGAAAAATTTTCTTATGCATGTTGATTTACAATATGAATTTCTTTATGCATATTTAATTCTTCAAATAGTTCCACCATGGCTAAGATAAATGAAGGTAGTCCGTCAGCGATGTGGGATAAAAAAGTTACAAATATTTTCTGCAATCTCTGTACACCGAGATTGAGATCGGGAATAGGCCAACCAGAGCCGCTCAATGAATGTTATAGGCAATGCCGACAGCGAAAAAATACAAACAGAGCGGAATTGAGTCAGATCTTGAAGATAAACTTGACATAATATTCAAGGGGGTTGTGGCAATGGGAAAGCATGCATTCAGTCCTAGTGAGACGGGGTTTTCAAGAATACCCTAAGATTTTCCACCAAAGCCGGTGGCAGTTTAAGAAGAAATACACTATGTTAACCAGAGGGAGATGGGGGAGTCAAGCTCACAGAGGCCCAGACTAAGAAGAATGAAGAAAGAAAATGACACTTTTGTGAAAACTTCATTTGACCAACTCATAGATGCTTTTGGAGCTCCATCGCCTGCTCCAGTTCCTGACAGCACTATTTTCGATTGTCTTCGAACTTTGTCTACTATCCCTAAAGTAGTAGCCAATAAGCGCTTTCATGCACTATGTATGAAAAACTAGAGGATCCAACACGTAGACAAATATTCATGGCGATGGAACCAGAGTTGTGAGTCGATTATTTACATATTGTCGTGGATGATTGAGTTTCTATATGTTTTCTTTTGTTGTATTACGTACTCTTTAAAGTTATGTACTCAGCTGCTATTTAGAGTTATGTATTTTTTTTAAATGTACTTCTACTTGATTCCTGAATGTCTATTAGTAGAGCTCTATACATTTTTATTGTAACTGGCTGAGTGTTCTCATTATTTATTTCTCGCTCGCTCTATTGATTAATAATTCATGAACTAACATACATCTTTTTTTCTTTAGGATGGATCCACAACATGAACGTCATAAGAGAATGGCATGGGCTGCAGTTATTGTCATATTATTGTTGGAGTATTATCGATCAAACAGTGTTCGTATACCCTGAATGACCTCCATGACTGTTGGGGATAAATGGGTAGGTGACATGTTTTATGGACATCCAATTAAGTTCAGTAATATATTAATTAAGTTCAGTAATATTTTTCGAATGACTGTACCGATATTTATGGATCTCCTGCACGAGTTATCACTGAATCACAGACTCCAAAGTTCTTCGAGAACGACGAGAAGGGAGGTATTGGCTACAACGCTATATATTCTGTCACAGAATGAATCAATTAAGGGTGTTATTCAGAGATTTCAGTATTCATCGGAGAGAATAAGCCGTTATTTCTCCAAATGCATACATGCACTTGTTAGCTTAGCCGCTAAAATCATCAGGCCAGAAGATCCATCATTTGCTAATACTCCAGGGCAAATCGTAACCGATCCCCGTTACATGTCTTACTTCAAGGTAACTATTGTTTTCTTTACGTACATACCAAAATATAAATATTCTATAACCCTGTAAACAGAACTGCATAGGTGCAATTGACGGTACTCACGCTGGTGCCCGACTACCCAGCCAGAACAAGATGGCTTACATTATTCGAAGTGGTTCAACTACTCAAAATGTCATGACGGTATGTGACTTCAACATGTGTTTCACATATGTTATGGCAGGCTGGGAAGAGAGTGCACATGACAGTCGTATTTTCTCCTAATCCGCCTTCAGGTATGTTTTGATTTATAAAATTCCTAGTTATATGTATTTATTGCAAATAACAATGTCTTCAATAACAAAAAAATATTATTTGGTTGATGTTGGATACCTTATGCAGAGGGCTATCTGAAGTCATATCCAGACACTACGTATCATATTCCTGATTTTGAGCGAGCAAGTGACACTATTCGTGGTAGGAAAGAAATGTTTAACAAACGTCACTCCCCTTTACGCGGGGTAATCGAAAGAACGTTTGGGATTTGGAAGAAGAAATGGGTCATCCTACGTGATATGTCGTCGTATCCATTTTAGAAGCAGGTGCATATTGTGGTGACAACAATGACACTTCATAACTTCATCCGACGACATCCTTCACGTTTAAATACGGACTTCAGTATAGCTAATAACGATGAGTTGAATGTCTATGAAGAACCATCAGAAACTATGATCGGGCCTTCAGTTCCTGAAGATGAGAATGACTTTAATGAATTTGAAGTTCATGACACGATAGGTGTAGTTGAGATGACTGCTTTGAAGGAGTCTATAACAGATGCTATCTATGACAGTTAATCCAGCAAGTGGAGTCTATAGCAGATGCTATCTATGACAGTTAATCCAGCAAGTCTTTGTTTTCTTCGTACATTATAGATTCATTTTGATGTGTATTTTTTTTGGATAAGATCTGACATTCGTGAGAACCGTTTGTGGCAACGTGAAAGCATGCATTCATTCATTGTACTTGTACTTGTCTTTATCTTTTTTTTTATTTTTTCTGATACTCACGAGAGTGTGAGAACTGTTTGAGTGTGAGAACTGTTTGTGTGAGAACTGTTTGTCATCTTTTCGAACTGATCTGTGATGATTTTATGTTTCTGCATTATTTGTTTCTGCACTATCAATAAGCTATTTTGAATAAACTGCTCCAAATAGTTTTACCAGACAGAAGCACGGTAGAATGATCATTTATCCAACAACAGCTGCCAGTAAGCTATTGTAAGCTGTCTGAAACAGTAAGCCAGCTTATTCTGATAATCTGCAGATCATCAAATTATCAAAATAATTTATTATCAGCAGATTATAAATAATCAACAGCTGCCCAAACAGACCCAGAGTCACACATGAGAATGAGCAGATGAGGAAACGTAACTTCCCCCCCTTTTAAACGCCGACACCCGTACACATGGGTATCAAGTCAAGCGCAAAGAAAGAACTCTTTCGTACTTACCCAATTAGTAAATATGAACATTTAAATATAAATTCTAATTGGTATACTCTAGCTTCATTCTTTAAGATACCTAAGCTAAACAAACAACAATGGGAAAAATAATATTACTATTGAATTCAAATAGGAACTTACAACCAAACACACAAGAAATCTGAAATTGTAACAAAGGACAACACAAATCAAACTAGGTGAATCTAGAGGTAATGGTGATCAGCGAGGGATTAAACCTCCGAAGGAATAACAAAAGTCGGTTGATGGCTGGAAAGTGTAGCGACAACCAAGAGGTGTTGGTAGATGTGAAGCTGCAGAACAAGCAAGAGTGGTTGTTGTCCTGTGCAATGGCAGCAAGAAAGATGTCTGGACAGCGATGAAAATAGCATATAACGGCTGTTCTAGGTTAGGCTAAAGGGTTCAAAACAGCAAAATATCACAATATTCGACTTGGAAATTCATGGCTTTCAAGAAGGCATGCCAAGCAAACACAATATGATTCTCTAGCTCAAGAACGTCCAGCATAAAATAAGGTGAGACGTAACCAATCTTTACCAAAAATTATCCTCAATTATCCTCATGACAATTTTTTATTTCCGATAATTGTGGAAACAAGTATCACTTAAATTAGCAATCAAACATTGGAAAGACGAGTGAGCTAGGTCCAACACTACCATAACAATGATATATTAAGCATGATGAAGCGAGTCAAAAAGCTGCTGAAGAGGGAGACAGCCAGGTATAAGTATAACATGAGGCTCCAGCTTGTCATGGAACAACAATTCAAAATGAGATGAATCCAGTTCGAGTAGTTCCAACTAATTAATTATGTTTTACACTGATTAATCAGTGATCACATGAACAACGGTTCAAAAAAAAAAAAAAAAAAATTCTTTTATTGGATCAATGTAGCTAGTCGACTTCCCCAATTTAGAAAATGTTGTATCAAAAGATTTAATCATCTTCACCCACCCTCCCTTTCAATCCTCAAAGCTCTTGCCACCTAACATTCTCCTTCAATGGAGTGCATCAAGAAACAAAAGTAAATTCCAATCACTTTCATCATGAAACTAACAAATAAATGTGAAACACAAGATAAGACCTTACGAAAACGTAAGCGGCAGAGAACAGCTCGGCAATAACCTTCTTCAAGATCACAACTGGTTTGTAGCGACCCAATATCTGCAACAAAAAATAGTATGAATAAATAATTGTTTGAAATATCAAAACCAATAAATATTATCTAATGAATATGGTAGCCTGAAAATATATAATAGAATGAATTGAAAAGAAATTATAAGCATGGATTGATATGTGTGGCAATCAGTGGATTTTGTGACATCAGCAAGTTAACAATGCAATCTTCAACTTTAAAAGTGAGTGATTGAGAAAAATCTATATTGTATATTTAAATATTAATTAAAAACAACATGCCCTATCATTAGTAGCAGTATTGGCATTAAAGGTGCATTTTTTGGTCTTTTCAACACCATATCAAGCACATTAGCAAGTTTTGCCAGCATAGAAAAGAGCAAATTTTGATATCAACCTTGTTTGTGAAACCAAGTGCTAAAAGAAAAGAATTGGACAGCAGGTACTCAAATCATTTCCACTTTCTTATGCTGTTCACTACCTGATACTGGAACAAGTTAGGAAATCAATGAAAACGAAAGAAAACTTTTATTGATACCGAATTAAGGTTACAATGCAACTCAAACTGGAAAGGAAAATACAACAATTCGACTCTCCAGCTAGGACTAGAAGAGAAGATCCAAGCGCGGTGGTGGCGTCGACAAAGTGGTAAGAGAACGGGTCAAGGTCGGAGACTGTGGAGTAGGTTAGAGAGGGTGATTTGGGGGTCGGCAGGTGGGCTGGAGAAGTGGGACGGCTAAGGGAATGCAGGAAGATTGATGACCGGATGCTGGGATGAAGGTGGGATGGCTGGACAGCACTGGTGTGCTGCAGGAAGGGGGCTGCATGGTGCTAGGGTGCAGGTCGGATGGCTGGACAGCAAGAATATGCTGCAGGAAATGGGCGGCAAGGTGTGGCGGTGCAGGTTGGAGAGGCCAGTAGCTAAGGGGATTGGAGGAGAAGGGGTAGGGAAGATGATAGAGGAAGATAAAACACCACCTCAGAGCAGGATTCAGCTGAAGCACCGCCCATCGTCAGATACAACCCTAACAAGGAGAGAAAACTCCAAGGGAAATTTTGAATCAGCAAAAAGCAAAACCTAAAACATACCTCCATAAAACAGCAATTTATAGACTCAATATGGAGAGAAACGCATAAGGACAGGAAGAGGAGAACAAAAAAAAAAGGAAAGGAGTAGAAGAAGAATACAAAAGGGAAGGGGTGGGGTGGCAGTCCCAAATCCAGAAGATAGTGATTTAAAGGCTCTCATATGGATAAGAACATGAAAGGAAAAAAATAGGAGGGGGTGGAGGCGGCAGTCCCGCCCCATTGAAATCTTGCTCAGTCCACTAGACCAGTCTTTAGGCCTAACAAGATTCGTTGCCAACACGTTTAGCAGCTGGCTTCCCTAGCCCCGTCACTACCATGTATGATTCCTATATTTATCAATATTTAATTTCAGGTAAAAAGTAAAAAAGGAAAAAGGTTTTCAAAATTCCTTGTGCTGCCGACTGTATGGGCTAACCTATATAGATGGCAAAAGAGTCCACAAAATAATATGGTATCAATAAAATGTGCATGTGGACGTTAAAGGTGAGCCCATACAAAGGTAAAAGTGTCCTCAAATTTATATTTTATTAACAATACAAGTGAGCAACAAAAGTGAGCTCATATGCAGACCAAAGGGTCCACAAATTAAAAAGATTATGTTGACTTGTAAAACAAGGGCGATAAAGTTAAAGCCTTTAGGGTGGCAAAAAGATCCTCAACATGTAGACTTTGGGCTGTGTTTTCAGCCCTATTATGTGATATGTATTTGATACAATTTACAACCTTATAAATGGCTCATGAACCTACATCCTCATAAAAAATAAATTATAAGGATAAAGTAAAATATTCTAAGTTAAAGAATAAATAAATTAAACAAATGAATATTATAAAAGAAATATTATGAAAGAAAAAGCCTCCTATGTTAATACTTGTACTTGAGTAGCATAATGCAGATTTTGATTGTACATTAAAAATCTCCTTAAATTTTTTGTGAGATTTATTCAAGAAAAAACCTCTTTATACTAATGACAATGGTGCACTGATTAGTCTATGTTTATTTTAGTTTCTCTTATCTAGTTCATGATTAATATAAATCGTAATAGTTTGGTTTCATGAATATTTGAATTTTGTTTTAAAAAATTGTTTATCTTACTGAGATTTCCAAGCTCAACTAAATTACTTTAATTGTTATTTCAAGTTAGGGTAAACTTAAGATCGATTTTGAGTAAGGGTCAAGTTTTGAAGCAATTACCCAATTTTTTGTGTACAATTTTGACTATAAGATAGGAAGCACGGTAAAATATTAATATAATAATATTATGGCATGGAATACCGGTATTTTTAAGAGCTTTGTAGTCAAATAAATAGAATATTTCAGAATTTCTGCTCAATTAGCTTATGTTAACTATTGCAAACTAAAAAATTAGTGATATAATATGCTTATGTCACTCAGATGATTTGAGTTTATCGGTACCTCAATTATCATAAGAAGAATTCCACAATAGGTGTTGATAGTATATTCAATCAATTGAGTTGAACCAACCTCTATTACAACTTATATTTAACCAACAGAATCCACATGGGTCGTGTCATCACGAATCTTAGAGCCATCCAACAATAAAAGAAAGAAAAGGCAAAAGGTTTATTCTGAGGGAAACAAAAATAAAAAAGAGATGCAATAAATAGTTTTAAGAATCATTAAACTGTTTTCACTTCAAATCTATGGTAAAGAAGCAATTATTACAAATCTAAGTTGTAACATATTAATTAACTCCCTAAGCTTCAGTGAAATAAGAAAGACACGATTAAATTACCAGATAATTAAATATTTTAAATTTAATTTGACATGAATTTAAGCAAATTTTCTGGAAGAGCAAAAAAATAATGGAATCCAACGTCAAATGGATAGAAATAAACTGCATTGTTTAGCCACAAGTAGAAGAATTTATATACCATATATAGCATCTCATAAACGAGGTTGCAAAAAATGGGTATATTCGAAGGGCTAAATCTGTGAGAGAATCAAGAGAAAAGGAACAGAAAAAAACAAAAAAAAAAAGTATGATTGCTAAGAATTGATAAAAGTCATAAGTGGGAGATAGAAGAATGCAAAAAAAAAATTAATTGAGAGAATTATCAATTAATTTTGTTAATCAATTCAGCTTCATATATACTTACTCAAAATTTATTAACTACAACATCAACAGATGCAAGAACATTTTACCCGCAATAACAAAATGTAATAAATAAAATTCACATCTTAAACGGCTATTAAATGCATTAGGAACACTGCAAAATTTAAATGATGATGATGATGATGATGATGATGATGATAATAATAATAATAAATATGTCAGAGTCTTAATGCTAACCATCAGATGGCTTCTTCCTGGATGCTTGAACTTTACAAGCACGTAGTTGGCGAGAGACTGTTTCTTCCACAGAATTTAGAAGTGACGAGAATTTTTCATCCCCATCTCCTTTCAAAGGCAAGCCATATGCCATTGTAAAAAAGTCCTCTTCCTATTAATGATTAAAAGTTCAATCAATACCACCTTACATCCCTAGCAATAATAAAACAAAAACATGCTTATGAATTGAAGATTGTGCTAAAGCATGGAATATTGAAGTTAGATTAATGGGAAATTTACATACATACCACGCAGTTCTTATGTATTTACATATCTTACACCCAAAGTGTAATATTTACACTTAAAACACCTTAATGGCATAAATATAAGCATGAAAAGGTGTATTTCACTTTTAAAAAGGTAGTGACGATGGTATTTTTTTTTTTTGATGTTAAAGATAAGAGTAGTATGCATGTATATGAATGATTATGTGTTAAATATGTAAATACATAAGAACTGTGCAGTATTTATGTAAATGCCCCTAGATTAATAAACAAACCTGACATTAGAGCACGAGAAAAGAATTAATAAACAACTATTATCAAAAGTATATTTATCTCAACAGAACTTCCCCATGTCTACTAGAATAATAATTTATTGATCCGCTCATTATATGTGAACTTAAATATGCATTAATGGAAAAAGCCTTCCTTGAGTCAACACTATACTAATTAAGAGAAGAACTTGATATGAAAATAACAAATAAAGTTAATAACTAGCTTATCACTCATTACCGTTAATTTATTTTACTTTATGAAGTAAATTAAAAAATAATTTAAAATATGCGGACATAATTTTGCTACAAAAAATAGTTGTCTTGGTTTATTTCAGCCAATTTATATAACAAATGAAGCATTGTACAAAATTCCTCAAAGTAACCAGACAAAAAACAAACAAATATGCCAATGTAAGTTATGGTAACATAGGGAACAAAATAAATTTAACAATAATCTGTATAATCTCTATAACAGAGTAGACAAAAAATGATAATCTGAGCTTCACTAAAAATTGTAAAATAATAATGAAATGATGAGTGGCCCACATGTACCTCAATAATTGTACGAGAAAAAATATCACTCATAGCATTCAAGAGGATACCTAATCAAACCAATGATTCAAAATAAAAATTAAAAATTAAAAATTAAAAACAAGCAAGAAGGTAAACCACTAAACCCAACAAGTATCAACGCCATGTTTGTTCCAACTATTTTTTACTTGTATTTGATGACCATATTCATCTTACAGGGGATTGGATTCAAGGAATAAAAACAACAACAACTTCCAGTTGGAATATGAAATTTATGTGTAGGGGCATTTACATACATAGCACAAAATTCAATAAATTTAACATATCTCGGACCTGAACTTCAATATTTACACACATAGCACTCAAATCTTTAATACCACATAAGAAATAACACTATTATCACTTTTTAGAAGTGAAACACATCTTTTCATGCATAGGTTTAAAACACCAAACTGCTATGTATGTAAATATGAAAGTTTAGGCGCGAGATATGTAAATACATACGAGTTGTGTGCAAGGAACGTAAATTTCCTTATCTATATTTAGTGCCGACAACTCATAATCCAAACCAAAGCAATAATAAAATTGATTAAAGATAGAAAAGTTCTCAAGCTTACTTCATGTGTACGTGCATCGGAGACAGCAGCAATAACAGCATTACAAGTAGAACGGATTATTCTGCAATATAAATGCAACAATGGGTGTGCCGCTGTTCTTTCAATCCTCAGAAGATAAATGCAGGAAAATACAGTCTGAGCCAAGGAATGACCCCTGTGCCATGTCGCCTGCAAACAAAAATAGTGTAAAAAAAACTTCGGAAGTCATTTGAATGCATGACAGCATGAGCTTTTTGGGGATTAAAGATAGACGCATTTACATAAATCACACTGAATTCCTATGTATTTACATATCTAATAACTAAACTTTTCTTTGGCCCAAAGCTTTCGTATTACAGCAAAAATACCACCATTTTCACTTTAAAAAATTAAAATACACCTTCCAATGCATAGGGTGGTATGTATGTAAAATTGAAGTTTAAGGTAAGATATGTAAACGCGTAAGAATTAAGTGATATGTATGTACATTTTCCTAAAAAGGGGCGTAACATATAGCAGACCATACCTCACACGACAAAAGGTGGTCCATTACATCAATACAGCATTGAATATCGACTGTCCTATCTAAACTGAAAGGAATAGGAGCAGCACCATTTTCAATGGCTTCTTCAACTGAGTGGAAACCATTTCTCTCCATCCCAGGATCCATCTTGGGATCCATTATCTATATTAGAACAAACATGGGGATTTAACCACTAGAATATCTCAAAAAATTTTGAATAAATATAAGGTAGTTATGCAAATATAGTTGCAAGTATTGGCCGAAAATGTTGATGAAAGCAAAAGGACAGAACTAACGAAATAATCCCCTGATTATTTATATGAGAACATTTTAGCCCCATAGTCTATAAAAGTGCCAATCCTATGCTCATTTATTACGGGCTCAAATAATCTCCACAAATACTACTTCAACCCATATTAAAAGAGTTTGTGGACTAAATTGAAACTTTTATACACCTTGACATTAAAATGGCAAGGGTCGGGGGACATTTTGATATCTTTTATCAAAACAAAAGCAACATCTGGGAAAATGATGAATGCTACTAACTAAGAAGAACTATAGTCCGAAGCTGCACAGCTCATACATGCAAAAATGAGTGAAGTATCAAACTTCTATATCACTAGTAAAAGTACATGAGTGTTTGTGACTATTATTTGACCAAGCACGGTCTGCTAAATGAGTTAACAATGAAAACAACAAACTTAGAACAAGCATGATCAGATTTCTAAAGGTCATCCATATAATATAAACTATAACTTCATTACAAAAAGAATAATATTTCAGTAAATTCTTTAAACTACTGCAGCGAAGTTTATGGAAATAATCCTAAAGTATTAGATATAACTTTGCATTAAGATAAACAAAACCTTAATCACTAAGAGGAAATGACTCAATCTTACAAAAGGTTCGACCTGGAACATGGCAAAGCACATCGTGAAGATAAATGCAAAATTTTTGGCAACATATCACAACAAACTTTATCATGAATGAACGAAGTTAAAGAGTAAACGAAAAAATATAACATTTAATTACACTTTTAGTTATGATCAATGCAAGATCTTCTAAGGAAATTAAAAATTTATCAATCAAACCAACCTTATCCCATCAATAATCTATGATAGGAAATCTTTGTTGTAGTGGTTCTCTAAGTTACCCACAAATAGTAGTATTCAATTGGGCAAATATTTAGGAAATGCCTTAACTTTAAGTCTCAAATGAATAGTGTTACTCATGGAAAGAATGTAGAGTAAATATAATATAATAATAAATGTTCTTTTTAGCAATTTAAATAATACAAATAGTTAATTTGATATACAGATAGCCATGAAATACCAAAATTAAATCTGTGTTTTAATAAAAGTAGAACCAAAGAAGAATGAATCGGCAAAGTAGCTGACATGAACTCTAGCAATTTCTCTATTATAAGTAGCATTATCATTAACTGCAAGCCCTGGCCTGTCTAGCCATCATCTTTACAAAGATATTTTATTGAATTAGAAACTCCAAGAGCATGTATTTGATTTCTTGGTTAACATCCACAACAAAGGAGGGAAGCAAAAATTAATTTTGGGAATATGGTCAATTCCAAAGTTTTTACAGCCTAAGAAGGACCTTGGGATATTAGAGAAATTGTACTAAAAGAGACCTATGTTTCATCCAAAGCAGGTGTTGGAAAATATGATTTCCTGAAAGTAAATGATGTTTTATTCATCTTAAAAATACTGTCAAATATGCATTCACAACCCTGTCGGGCAAAAAGAAAATGATATTTTTAACTATCGTGCTCTCACAATAGAAAGTAGGGGCATTTACTGACATAGCACAAAATTCTTATGTATTTATGTATCTCACACTTAAACTTTGCACTCAAATTTTTAATATCACATCAAAAGTAGCATTATTATCACCTTTTAAAAGTGAAATACCCATTTTCATGCATAAGTTTAAAAAGCCAAGGTGTATGCATGCAAATATGAAAATTTAGATGTGAGATATGAATGCATAAGAATTGTGTGCTACGTATGTAAATTTCCCTAGAAATTATTATAATTGAAGTGCATTCAACTTTTCATAGTAACATTCAGATGTTGCCTACTATTTCACCTCTTTTTTTATTTTCAAATAAAAAGACAAAAAGATACCCTACATTCCAATGAGAAATGAAATGAGCTATGGCAATCTCTTCATTTATAGATATAATAGAGGGACAATAATGCATCCAGTCAAAATACAACCAGAGACAATGAGAGGGAGCGTTGTCTATAGAAAACACAAGGCCTTTCTTTTTCTAAACAAGGCGAAAAGAGAACATAAAAGGATTTTATAGCCTCCAAAATAAAGTTGATTCATATTTAACTTCTCAGGATATATCACTTTTAGTACGTTTAGTATAACCATAAAAAAGTATTTAGTAATAAGAAGGAAAATCTTGCTCAAATCTAGAAGCTGCCTATTGCGATGTTCAGGTCTACCTGTGGAGAAGTCTACTATAACATGTTATCGCATAATAAAAAAAGATAGAAAAAGAGAAAATAAACAAGGCAAAGCCAAAGTACCAAAGGGAGTTAAGGAGCTGAAGGAAAGGCAAATACAAATAAATAGAAGAGATAGTTTCATCACAATTAACACAAATAGTGAATGAAGGGGTTGTAAAAGTTAGAGAAGAAGAATTAGATATGTCGGAAAAGCCACATTAAAGGAACAAGGGATGTTAAAAAAATCGACAAATAATTAAATTAAGGATGATGGCATATGTAGTAAAAATTTAAGAATGACAAAAAATTAATGTATTTTTACTATAGTATTATAAAGTAGCAATGGGCACCATAACTATATAGCTAATTAATATAAAATATACTTAAAAACAGTTGTATGATTTTTAACAAATATTTATTAGATTTTTTTCAATAAAAAAAGAAAAAGGAATGCCAATTTGAAAAGTGAAATTGTGCAGCAAGAAAACTGATTTGAGTTCGCTTGCAAGAAAGAAATAATTTGAACTTGCTTGATAGGAAATTGGATTGACCAAGTTCGTCCCATAACTTCAGTTCATATTTGCATATAGAAAAAGTATGTTGGATATAAAATTTAATTTCTAGAAACTAATATGCAATAATTTTTTTTATTGGATTGTATTCAAAGAATTTAGCATTCGTGGAGATGTTTAATAAGACAAAAAAAAAACTTTGCAACATTTCTTTTGTATATAACAACTCAAAAGCAAAGAAGATGAAAACCAAATATTGACCCCATGATCAGATAATTCTATAAAGCAATAAAATTACAACCGTCACCCCCTTTTTTAAATATAAAGACAACATAGACCACATCCCTCCACTGCAGCCCCCGTCTCCAACTAAGATGATTGTTGCCTTTATCAATTCTTTTCCTTTGCAATAATATCTTCTCCCCACCAATGTCATTGCAATAATTTCCCTTTCCTCACAAGAAATGCATCCCTTTATCCTTATCTAGATCTTCTTTAGTACATGGAGGGCTCTCGACTGGCCATACTTTGAAGCACTTTGATTTTAAGAGACCAACTTTGGGGAGATCACCCTGCCCCAAGCCCTTGGCTTTTCCTAGCTAAGACCTTTCTTGAGAATCCTCAAATCACTTTGGCTTACTAGATGAGCCTGTGCCTTTAATAAAGTAGAAACTCATTTAAGACCAATGCAAAACCCAAGACTAATAGAGCCAAAAACCTAATCTAGTTCATTACTAATCAACCTTAGGCCAAGATTCTAATCTCATAAATCGCTAGGGCACCTTAACTCTCAATGAATCCTCAAAAATAGAAACCTCGGTAGACTATCGAGGCCCAACCTCGGACACCCCAATCAACCAAGTCAATAGCTCTACCCAATAGCCAACTACCTGCATAGCTTTTGGGTAAATTCTAAGAGTTCAATTTGATGTCAACATTAATTTGTCGACATTATCCTTCTTGAAGACCGATATGGTAGATATTGACCCTCCATCAATACATTTTCTCGATGTGATCTATTGACTATTTTTCTAAGCACATACGACCAATATCCCTTCTTTCCACGACATTCACTAGGTGACAACTAGCCTTAGCATTTACCAACTTGGCAACTTCTTTCACTATACCCTATAATCCGTACATGACTTCTCACTTTTACATCAGCCCAATGACTTGATGTTGCAGCATTTATCCAATGACTTTCAAACTCCACATTTGTCAATTTGTCAAATTCTAAACTCTGCATTGGCTTCGCAATGTCTCCTTTTAACATCTTCTCAAATCCACTCTATTAACATACCTTTACAAACACCTTCCCATTAAGTCCAATTTCAGATTCCACAAAAAAAAATAATAATAATAACAATAAATAAAAAAAACTCCTTACAGCTAGTGCCTTAGCTTGTTAAAGTTAAAACCTAACTAACCGCCTCACAGTTTGATCTTCACAAGATAGGTCTACAGTTCTACCATGGTTTAATCTTGTTCTTATTCTAATCAATTTCACCAAGGAAAAAGCTCCTTTTAGTAGAGAAAATCGATAGAGAACCTTCTCTTAATTTTTATCGCTAAAACTAAGACATCAAGGATCGCCAGTAGCAAGAGGGGCATCACATTCAAAGAGCAAGAGACCCAAAGAACACTCAAAAGGCTTCCAAGACTTTTAGCTTTCCTCTTTCTTCAATCGACCAGAATCACTCATCAAAAGGCTTCCAAGACTTTTAGCTTTCCTCTTTCTTCAATCGAACAGAACCCCCCCCCCCCCCCCTCTCATTCTCTTGGATTGAAGTATAGGGTTCTAAAAGTACTTCCTCCCCATCAAAATCCTCCATTATGCTGAAGGACCAAGCAACTGAATTCAGGGATGTCCTTGAGTTCTTCATTGCATTAGAAATAAATTTTGTTCACTACGTTTTTATCTCTTCAATTGTTTTGCCTTATCAATCTTCCCAGTCAACAAACATCCTTTCTACTAGCAATTCTATTGTGGCAAGCAAGATCAGTGAAACACATCCCTAGTTTTCACGAAAAAGATTGCCTGATAAACCTTGGCAAGCAACAACTCCCTAGAATAAAAGCTTGGAAAAACTCTGACCTTAAAATTTGTCAACATATTGACAACCGAGCATTAACTCACAAACAGGCTTGCTAGCTCACTCATCAACAACACACCACCTGATAAGAGGTTTGCCAAATTGTTTGCTAAGAGCTTAACTGCCATCTTAGATACTGTTGCTAAATTCCTTATGGTACCATGAAACACTAGGGTTACTAGGTGACAGCATGTTAACATCTCCCCTCCCAGCTCATGCAATGTCCAAAGACTATTGAGTGTCATTCAACTGGCTTCCACCACCTCTGTATAACATCATCCAAAACCTTCCTAAGTTCTCAGACAGCACATTATCATATGAGAATTTGTTACTCATCTCCCTGGGGGTCGTATGATGACAAACCAAGAGTGAATAAAAAATAAATTTTAAAAATTAATTATGCAATGGATTTCATTAGATATGAAAGTTCCGTTTTTCTAAAATATGAATATTACTTTCATAAAAATCATCTTAATTTTGTTATAATTATGACAACATTTTAGGAAAATCAGCCCTAAATAAAATTTTGACTTCATTAAATTACCTGGAGGCATTTAAGTATAAGAAATGTCATAAATTCTTTTTTTCCTACTTTTAAAAATGCATTTAATTTGCAAAATAATATAGGTGAAGAACTTGAGAAATAAAGAGATTTAGGAAGTTTATTCAAAAAATTTTCCTGCACCTTCTTAACCACTTTGAGTGGGCAGTTAAGGCCATATGGCCTATTGACTAATTATTTATCATAATTTGCAAATTTAAATCTATCAGATAAAATTAGAAAAAAATGCTTAGTTTTATCAGTATGCGTAACCTGTCATTCATGCACTGTAATCATGGTTCAATAAAGTGACCCTCAATTTAATATCAAATTCTATGCAAAATTTTTAAATTAAGCTTGTTATTACTTCTTTAAAAAAAAAAACAGAAAAAACTTTAGATAATGACCCAATCACCCCATGGGAAGTGGTTGGGGCTGCCAAGTTGGCAATCACAACCTGGCAGTCTGAGTCGCCCCCAAATCATCTAACTATTTGAATAATTATTTAGATTCAATCAATTGTATTTTAAATAGCTTAATAACTTGGAGAATAATTTTAACACTAAAAATTCTGTTAAAAATCAATTAATGCCAAAAAATAAACATAGATGAAATTATAGAAGTAAAATTCACGAAAAAGTAACATGCCAGTGTGCTGTATAAGCAGGTAGCAGACAATGTTTATGCATAAACAAGAAAAAAAATGACAAAAGTGAATGCATTTGAAATTTGTGGTTTCTCCAACAAGGTTCACACGAGAACATAAGAAAATGATAGACTGGTTAGCTCAATTTAAGTACCTCCAAAGCAGACATAGCAGCAAATAAATTGAAATTCTCACCATGAATAAGCTCCCCATCACGAAGCTCTAGAAAAAAAATGTGAATTAAGATGAAAAGTAGATCATAAATCAACAAGTAAACTAGGGAAAATTTTAAGACAGAGTTGATAAACTTTGGGGAAACAAACTTGGTAAAAACAGTACCGGTTTCTTGTTTTTAAGCAGTTTATGACACCTGAAATTGAGTTAATTAGAAACTATATATTTTGCTAACCATCTAGTGATAAAAAGTGGATGTATAAATAACATGGCGCTTTTACATTCTTTGATGTTACAGTATGACGCACTTAAAGGCTAAAATAATAAGCTAAATGCCAATGATGGTCCAACAAAGTGAAAATAAGTGGTTGTAAGTTGAAACAAAGACACAAAATTGAGCATTCAGAGAATATCATCAGGCATAGAAAATAACAACTATCTTGTCCAAATATTGAAAAACAGCTCCTGTATCGAATGCTAAAAAGGCAAGAAACACCTAAATGTGCTTTGTATTGCAAGATTGTGTGTGTATTAGCTTACATGGTGATATATAGTTGAATTGAGTTGCAATTCTTATGCTTTGCGCATAGACCAATAAACCCGGCTTGTACACAATGGGACTAAAACTTCTCTGGAATTATGTTGCTTTTGTGTTGTTTTTCAAAGAGCTGTCATATCATAATCTTTTATCTGTATGAAAAATATTCAATCAAAAGCCACCCATTCAAAAAAAATCTCCCATTCATGTACTCCCTCGATAACTTTACAATCATGAAGGTTATTATTAAGGTAATGGCAAACTTGGAACACAATATCCTTAGGAGATAATGTTTTATGATGTTTTATTCCTTCTTAGCGGAGGATATTTAGTTCATTATTTTATTCCTTCAGTACTCACCTTAAATGTCTATATATAGGCACATATTTTGAGACACAGCCTAAATGCTTTTTCTCTTGTTCAAAATGTTATCAAAAAGTATTCTTGCTCTCAACCCCTCCCATCCCACTTCAATACCCCAATCTGCCTCTACCCATCGCCTGCCGCACGTCTCCCTCCCAAATCATTCTCACAATCGTTCCACTCACTTCACTACCACAACCCTATAATATTCGCTAGCTCCCGCATGCTGACCCGTTCTCACATGCACATCTAAACTTTTAGCTTCTCACCAACAAAAAAACAATATGATTTTGTTTTACCATAATCATCAAATCAATTGTGCATCAAGACATTCTCTCTCAACCCGTGAAACCATATGTTCCTAAACTTCTAGTTCTGAAACTGATTTCCCAGAGCATGCAATCAGATGAACATTTTAACTCTTGCAACTACTCACATTTATTGTTGGCGCAAACCCACTTGCAACCTCTTTCTTCACATTGCAAAACTGGACAAGGACGATGGAGACATGCTTGTGTTGGTCAACATAGAGTTGAGTAACTTCTCCAATGACTGCACTTCCTACCGTTGTCTTGTTCTACATGGATGTGAGCATACAACTTTGACATAGAACCAATATGATCTACATTTGATCACAAATGGATTAATAAGAGAAGGAATTTGAGTGACAAGATCAAACATGAACTCTGAATATTATCATTGTGTGCCTTGCTTCACATTTCTCCAATTCTCTCTCCTTTAAATGTTGTCTTATCCATGTTGAGAGAAATTAACTCTCTGCACTGCTAAAAAAAAAGATACATCTAGATCCACTATAACTACTTTTAGTGCCAAACAAAAATTAGATATGTTTCTCTCTCAAAATATAATTAGTTGCTCCTATAACCCTAGCCATTTATCTCAGCATCTCATGAGATTTCTTCCTCAAGGCTGCAAAAATGGTTTCTATAGGTAAGTCTTGGGTCAAGTCTTTATTGCGACAAAACATTGCTACATGCATTAGGACAACTCGAGAGTTGAGTCGGATATGATTACCTTTTTGGGCTCCCTTTTACAACCTTGGATGAAAGAGACTAAAGGCATCATAATTGAAGGTGAAAATGTGAACGTCATGAACCACCACCGCGATAGTATGTCAGCTGATACATGGAGACAACATACCCACAAGGAAGTGGATACTACTTTTCTTCTTCATTTTCAACAAGTTATTTTTGTTTTTGTTCATAGATAATGTAACAAAGTAGACCATTTTTGTGCTGGACTCATTTTGGACAGGTTCTTCTTTTGGGAGGTTCACACTTGTGACCCCGATTTTTTAAGTGTGATTGAGAAAGATGCCAACCACACAGGATCTATTTTTGTGTAGCTTATAGCTCCGTTTGTACTTTTTGTTTTTATTTTAATGCAAAATGCACTCTTCACGGTATGCTTGGGACTTAGATTGTAATGCTTCCAATAATTATACTCAAAACTAATATTAACTCTCGTCACACTTTTTATTGTCGCTTATGTTACCCCTCCAATCTTAAGAAAAGGATGTGTTGGCTCCTAGCATGGATAATTTTCTCTAGGTTTCACAATTTCTTGTCAACATTTAAAGTATAAAATATTTGATTGAGACAAGTTCTTGCTTAGTAACCTTTTATCTTAGTATGTTATTTATGATATTGGCACAAATAACATGATTGGTATAGGCATTGAAGCCAGTGATATTTATTATCTCTACGTTATTGTTATTGATTCAACCATCTTATCTACAATTTTCCTTTACCAATGGAATCATCTAGTTCATTCTCTCCATCTTCAAGTTTTTACTCAATATGTTAACTTTTGCTCCCAAATTTGAATGCAATGTCCGTGACTTTGTCATACAATAATGTGCCCCATTTTCACTTGTTATCAACTTCTTATAGTACACCCACTTTGACTAAATTCACTCTAAAATATCAAGACCAACTCATTGTGACTTGCTATTTCATTTTCATTATTGATAACCAAAACAATCACTTAAGTTTGCCTAATAAAATTTTCATTTGAGATCTTATTTGTATTCAAATTATTCAATAAAAAAAAGTTCAATTTCCAGTTCAGATTAAAACACTTCATATAAATAATGCACTAAATTTTATGCAATTCTTTATCCTTTCTCCATTGAGAATGACATCATAAATCTATCAACATATGCATATGCATCTCAACAAAATTTTTGACACAGCTCACAGCTTAACATTCCATGTGCAGCAAGTTCAACACCAATTTTGGGGGACCATAACCTTGCTTCATTCTAACCAATCAAACATGTGTTCTTTACGATTCTCAATAGATAACACGGTTTATTTTTCAACATAATAAACCTTCTTTTCAATTAACACCTCGCTTATTCAGCTATATGCATTTTTTCTATTCCATTTGCCCAAGCCTAATCAATTATCTCATTGTGTTATGTGATGCGTCTTTTGAGTAATTCTCGTACTTAAAAAGATTATTGACACAATGATCCTTTTACTATAAAACTAGATGTTTATGGCACTATAGCCTTTCATGAAACAATCCCTTTGTTCACGTAACCGCATCGCCTACAACCAAACCTCTTGTGCCTGTACAACCTTTAGTCCAAACACTTGCTTCTCCAACTTTATAGGTTTATACCCCCATTCCTTGATTGTCTCCTTCTACAACAACTCCTTCCATCAATCGACAATGCTGAGATTTAATTACCACCAAGCATTAGATCTAAATCGTATTGTTGTTCCTTCTAAACTAACAACCAAGTACGATCTTTCATGACCTTTGATCATCAATCCTCTTCATTTCATCAGTTTGTTTTGTCTTTCTCTGATGTCACTATACCCTAAACACGCCAGTAAGCCATACTTGGTCCCGGCTAGAAACATGCTATGAAAAGTAAAATAAGTGCATTTCTTCAACGTTTAATCTAAAAATTAATAACAACACTTGTAAACCAAAATCTATCTTACATGGGTATTCATTGATGGCTTCATTGATTGTCACAAAACTCATTTAATAGAGAAATAATATACACACATTCATGAAATTAATTACTGTAAAGATTTTTTTTAAATAGTTGTCTGACTTAAATCTATTCAACTATCTATTTCCTTTCATAAATCAAGGGAGGCCTATGTTACAAATTGATATTAATAATAAATTTGTCTATGAGAATTTATCAAAATAGCTTATATAGAGCAACCACCTGGATATGTTGCTAGGGGAAACATAAATATTGCAAACTTCAAAAACCTATATGTGAATTGACACAAAGCCCTCAAGCATGGTTCTAGAAACTTTGTTATTATTGTTGACATCTATTATGAAACAATACGACTTATTAACTTGTCTCTATTCAGTATTCTTCCCTTGGCATAATTGGTTTAGTTGTATGTATCGATTCTCCTACGAAAACTTGCCATATTTATTGTTGACAATTAATTTATCTCTCAATAGAAATTTACTATAGACATTGTTGAAGAAGTTGGTCTTCTTAGGTATAAGTCTATCAATTCTCCTATGAAAACTTTCATTCATCCGATAATAATTAAATCAATAATGATTCTTCTTGATGTTGATATCTTATTGCAAACTGGTATATTTAACCGTCACTCAACTTGATGTATCCTTTATTGTTAGTGCAATTAACCAAGACATGTAAAACCTAAAGAATATACATTCAGCAGTTGCCACAAGAATGATAATATATATTAAGAAAATGTCTAGCATATCAATCATAATCATTTGAGGATCTGAGGCTTTTTCAATGATGATTATATTGGATCTAGTGAAGATTAAAAATCTGCTCCAGAATATTATATTTTTTTGGTTGAAAATCCCAATACTTCTAAAAGTAAAAAAGAAAACAATATAGCTATATTTGTTGTTGAAGAAGAATACAGTTCCTTTTTCTCGCAATTATACAAGCATCGCTACACGGTGAAACCAAAAATGTTTATTGCTAACAAATGATATCAACAACTTAAGCATATGATGACTAATTCTAATGTGTGTAAGTTTGATGATTAGAAATTACTATTGCTAGTAAAATTATGTGCAATAGGATAAGAACTTGGATTTACTAAATAGAAGAGTATATATAAATATATAAGGTTAGCTTTTAAAGCTCATGTCTTGAGGTAAATAGAAAATTGTCTCGGTAAACTATATGATTAGAAAATAGGGTAAGACTTCAAGTCAAAATATATAAAATTATAACTAAATTGGCTATGCTATATAAAGGATAGATTTTAGAAATGGTGATATTAGAGATATGGGAGGAGTGGGTTTTTTTTTCCTATTTTTTCTCTTTTTTTTTTATATTTTTGGAAATGGTAGGACCGTTAGGAGTGGCATTAAATAACTTTGAGATGGCCATAAACAGTCTTAACTGAGTAGGACATGTGCATGAAAAGTGTAGCTGCAGCAATAGGTTAATTTATAAAATTAATACGCTGACTTTATAAAAAAAAGTGGTAGATGAAATGTAACATAATTAGTAATGGTGTAAATTGATGGTGCAAAATAAAAGCAGCACCTCAAGCATCATTCAATAGACATGAATGAAGAATTAAGATACATTAAGTCAAACAAAATAAGAGGTACCAGACTAATGGAGAAGATACTATCAAATTTCCAACCACAAACTAAATTTTTTCCACAAAATCCGCAAACATCTATTCATTTTCACCCACATCCTTGTACATCTCAATCATTCACACACGACAAACAAGCAGCCAAAAACTAATTCCAGGTGCATAGAAGGAAAGCAGTCAACATCGTACAAATGAAAAGTGAGAAAGGGAAAACCGATAGGAATGTCACAAAAACACAATAACACATCACGGCAGAGATTGCTCACCGCTGCATGCGGCAGCAATCAAGGGAGAGGCGTCGGCCCAAACCATTTGGTCGCCGGAGGGGATTGAAGCCGGCACGGCGACTCCACCTCGGCCCTCCATCGGATTGGATACAGAACCGTTAGGGATTCAGTAATATTCCAGACAAAGATAGCCCTCGCAGGTCAAGGCCGAAGTCTAGACTCGCCCTTGTTTGAGATTTCTTCTGGTTCAGTTGTCGCAAAAAGGGGCTTAGCGACGCGAGTTCAGACCTCTCAGTGGCAACAGTTTCCGCGCACACGCGGATCAGTTTTGTATCTCCCGTGTGCCCATTTGTCGCCTTCCTCGAACTTGAGGGACAGTTTAACTCAGCTGCCGTTTTTTGAGAATTTAGATAAAATATAATTTTGCTAAACATAATAAACTGCAGTGTGTTTTTGAACCATCACCTCAAATACACCATAGTCCTTCTTAGAATACTTTTGTTTTGGAGCTTTGAATCATGTTCATTAAAAATGGTGTTTACATCTTACTTAGATGCAGCTTTTTAACACTTTTATTTGCATATGTTAATCTGCAGTTTAATAGTAATGCGAAAGAGAGTTGTCAAACTGCAAAAAATAAACAGTCGGTCAGCTTATCTGCAATAGTTTTTTAGGGCAGTTGCGCAGAAGTTTATTGATAAGCTGCACAAACAGATTCTAAGTCCTCGTTCCGGAACTCTTTGCGTTTTATGAAAATTCTCTAAAAAATAACTTTAAAAGCATCTACGGTATAAAGACTGACTTTTTAAAATACATATCTAATTTGAATACAAATTATAACTATAGCTTTTCTCGGGATTGAAAAGATAAAAATAAATAAATTTTATGTTTCTAAATGGCATAATGCAATGGGAGGTTGTAGAACACATCATGAAATTTGTGATCGGAAATAGAAAATATAACGTTCTCATCAGAAGAAATTTTGGAATCGTTGCTAAGTCAAACAATGCCCTCACGATTTACTAACTCTCTCTCAAATGACCTTGACTAAGAGTACGATTCGAGTAATTATAATTTTTTGAGAAGATAAATAGGGTTGTATTGGAGAAAATAATTTCTTAAAAAATAATGTTGAAAATTATAAATATACTTTTTTATAAAATATTAGATAATAATTTTCTTAGAGTTATCATGCCTTAACAAGTTAAATTTAAAAAAATAAAAATTCATCAAAAAATTTGCAGAAAATATAAAAAAATAATAATTACTCAAAAATAATTGTGGTGAAAAATACAAAACAGTGCTTGCTCTGTTTTCTACACAATCGAGCGAATCAAACCATTGCCCGCCTTGCTGCCGATAGAGCAGCTTATCTCCCCAATTCATTTATCAATTGGGATTAGAATTAGGGTTTCTGATTTTCGGCCGCCTTTCTTCTTAGTTCATCCTATTTTTTACCACTCCCATGGCGGATTATAGCACCCGAAACATCCGCAACATCTGCATCCTAGCCCACGTTGACCATGGAAAAACAACCCTCGCTGACCACCTCATTGCCGCCTATGGTGGCGGCGTCCTCAACCCGAAGCTCGCTGGTAACGTGCGTTTCATGGACTACCTCGATGAGGAGCAGCGCCGCGCCATCACGATGAAGAGCTCTTCCATCTCCCTGCATTTCCGCGACCACTCCATCAACCTCATCGATTCACCCGGCCACATGGACTTTTGCAGTGAGGTTTCCACCGCAGCCCGCCTTTCCGACGGCGCCCTCATTCTCGTTGATGCGGTCGAAGGTGTTCACATTCAGACCCACGCCGTTCTTCGCCAATCCTGGGTTGAAAAGCTCACCCCCTGCCTAGTACTCAACAAGATCGATCGTCTCATCACCGAGCTCAAGCTTACCCCTATGGAGGCTTACACCCGCCTGCTGCGTATCGTCCACGAGGTAAATGGCATCGTTTCCGCCTATAAGTCGGAGAAGTATCTTTCAGATGTCGATTCCTTACTGGCCGGCGCCTCAGAAAATGGCGATGGTGAGTACGATCACGAGCTTGTCGAGGATGACGAAGAGGACACTTTTCAGCCCCAGAAGGGAAACGTGGCGTTCGCATGCGCATTGGATGGATGGGGTTTTTACATCGAACAGTTTGCAGAGTTCTATGCTTCTAAGCTCGGTGCAAGCATGGCAGCCCTGAAGAAAGGATTTTGGGGTCCGAGGTATTTCAACACTAAGAAGATGATGATTGTTGGGAAGAAAGGGATGGAGGGTTTCAGCAGGGATCCACAACCGATGTTTGTCCAGTTTGTGCTTAAGCCTTTGTGGCAGGTTTATCAGGCAGCTCTGGATGCAAATGGAGACAAGGACATGTTCCAGAAAGTTATCAAAACCTTCAATTTATCAGTTCCTCAACGTGAATTGCAGAACAAGGACACAAAGGCTGTGCTGCAGGCTGTAATGAGGCGTTGGCTTCCACTCTCTGACGCAGTTCTATCAATGGTGATCAAATGCATTCCTGATCCTATCTCAGCCCAGTCTTTAAGGATATCTCGGTTGCTGCCCAAAAGAGAAGTGAAGGTTGATGGCAACGAACATTACTCAGAGGTTGTTGCTGAGGCGGAGCATGTTAGGAAGTGCGTTGAGGTTTGCGATTCTAGTCCAGAGGCTCCTTGTGTGGTCTTTGTTTCAAAGATGTTTGCTGTTCCTGCAAAAATGATCCCTAAGAAAGGACCTAATGGGGAGAAGTTGATTCATTCTTTGTCTGGCGAAGTTGGTGGTGGTGAGTCGGAAGAGTTCTTCCTCGCTTTTGCAAGGATTTTTAGTGGTGTGCTTAACTGTGGTCAGAAGGTTTTTGTTCTTTCAGCTCTGTATGATCCATTAAAAATAGATTTTTCACAAAAGCATCTGCAGGATGCTGAGGTTCAGCACCTGTATTTGATGATGGGCCAAGGTCTGAAACCCGTATCTTGTGCTAGTGCGGGGAATTTAGTGGCCATTCAGGGCTTGGGGCAGTATATCCTGAAGAGTGCAACTCTATCCACCTCAAGGAATTGCTGGCCTTTTTCCAGTATGATGTTTCAGGTGGCACCAACTCTCAGAGTGGCCATTGAACCATCTGATCCAGCTAATATGGGTGCACTTATGAGAGGACTGAGACTTCTTAACCGAGCAGATCCTTTTGTTGAAGTTACAGTTTCTTCCAGAGGGGAACAGGTGCTTGCAGCTGCGGGGGAGGTCCATCTGGAGAGGTGTATAAAAGACTTGAAAGAAAGATTTGCTAAGGTTAGCCTAGAGGTTTCACCTCCACTGGTCTCATATAAAGAGACAATCGAGGGAGGAGAAGGTTTTTCATTCTTAGACACTCTAAAGGTTACTTCCAGCAGTGCTCAATATGTTGAGAAAGTTACTTCAAATGGGAGATGTATGGTCAGAGTTCAAGTTGTAAGAATTCCCAATGCTTTAACTAAAGTTCTCGAGGAAAGTGCTGAAATCCTAGCTGATATAATAGAAGGGAGACCGGTCAAGAAAAATGGAAACTTGGGCTATGTTTCTCATGATGGCGGTGATCCTGTAGCAGTTCTTAGGAAGCTTTTGATTGATTCACTGGAGAGCGAATTGGAGCTTGATTCTGATAAGAGTGATACTGATAAGCTTGAGAAAAATAAGCAACTTTGCAGTATGTTTCTTCAAAGAATCTGGTCACTTGGGCCTAGGCAGGTTGGACCAAACATTCTTCTAGTTCCAGATTCTAAAACCACTGAAGTTATTCATGCAAGCAGTGGCGAGCGTGGTTTTCTTATTCATGGTTCTTATGATGTGTCTGAGAAACTAGGATTTTTAGATATTTCTAGTTCTGATGAAATTATAGACACGGATAATGGAGAAACATCAGAAGCAACCAGTTCCATAAATTTGGAAGCAGAGGCCCTAAAGAACAGCATTGTTGCAGGTTTTCAATTAGCCACATCTGCAGGGCCTCTGTGTGATGAACCTGTGTGGGGATTAGCCTTTTTGGTAAAATCTTACATTTTTCCAGACAATTTGGAGACTAAGGATCAGCTAGACCAATATGGTATTCTCAGCGGGCAAGTTATGACTGCCGTGAAGGATGCGTGTAGGGCAGCTGTGCTTCAAAGCAAGCCAAGGCTAGCAGAAGCAATGTACTTCTGTGAGTTGAACACACCAGGAGATTTCTTGAAGAAAATGTATGCGGTTCTTTCAAGGAGGCGATCTAAGGTTTTGAAAGAAGAGATGCAAGAAAGCTCCCCGCTTTTTACTGTGCACGCTTATGTTCCTGTTGCCGAAAGCTTTGGCTTTGCTGATGAGCTTAGGAAATCGACTGGAGCTGCTGCGAGTGCTTTACTCGTTCTCAGCCACTGGGAGGTGCTTCCAGAAGATCCATTTTTCATTCCAAAAACGGAGGAAGAAATTGAAGAATATGGAGATGGCTCGAGTGTCCTTCCCAACATAGCAAGAAAGCTTATTGATGCAGTGAGGAGAAGGAAAGGCCTTCATGTGGAGGACAAAGTTGTTCAGCATGCAACAAAGCAGAGAACACTTGCTAGGAAGGTTTAATTGGTTGTTGTGAATTGAAATAAAGCATTTTTTCATGTATTTTTAAACATAGGCTTATTGTTTCTCATGCTTTTAAGATATAGATATGACTTATGTCACTGTAAATGTCAACTTTAGGAAGATTCTGAAATTTAATTTTCTGTAGTATTTATTTGATATCAGATGATTTGTGTATCAATATTATTATCATAAATGAACAATTTTTTGATATGATTGTACTGAACATGGACCATCCAAATGTCTTAGTGTGAATTCTTAGTGTGATTTCTTTTTTTTTTTCCTTTTTTTTTTTTTTTGTCAAGAAGCTTGGAACTCTTGTCTTTTTCACTGTGGTTTAATGAAAAAATGATTATTTTCTTCTTATTTGTTTGGGTTGTTATTATTCTACCGATGCTATTTATGTCGATTAGATCATTGGTATGTTAATCCAATTGTGAATGTCTTCAACTGATATAGCTTCTGCACTCTTATGTTCAATACTCTTGGCTTAAAGGCTATTTTGTAATTTTATTTTAATCCACACATTTGATTTCACCATAAATCTTAGCTGAATGACCTATATAGAATAACTTTTTAGGTTACCGTGTTGCTGTATCAGCCATGATACTGATGATTATATCGAGAATTGAACTTGCAATCATAAAACCTTTTCTGATGCTTAATTGAATGCAAACCATGGGACTGATATGTGAAAATATATGTGTTCTGCTTTCAACTTATGGTTGCAAAAATAAATTATCCATATATTAGTTTAGGTGGGGTTATCAGTTTGCCAAATAAATTGGATTTCAGTTTTTATTTAAGTATATGAAATTTAGCAAGATCATTCAAGATGTTGATAATAATATTGAGGATCGAATTTGTGTATTATTATTATTATTTTTTTTTTTGATACTTAACGGGATGCAAGCCTTGAGACTAACATGTGGAAGTATGTTTGTATTCTGCTTTCAATTCATGCTTGAATATTGATTTTTACTGGTCTCAAGTTGCAAGGATTTCAGCAGCTTGACAAGCCAAATTAGCATGCAATTTTTTATTTTTAATGTATGTAATTTTGAGTATTTTTTCTGTTTCTAGATAATTAAACAATGGATATCTGCGCATCATATTCTTCAAATGAGATTGAGTTATTGTGAAGTATATCACGCTACAATAGGATCTGACACAACTATATTGGAGGTTAGTTGCAACTGATATTTTTGCTCGTCTTATTCTTGGAGTGCTCTTAGATTTATAATATCAACATGTATCATAAATTTCATATCTTCATGTCAGATTATAATGCTTATGTTGTTGTAAATATTCTCCTCTCTTTATAAACTATTGCTGATGTGATTTATGTGTGATGGGAATTTATAGTTTTTCATGTTTGTTTAAGATTTTATGATGCTCAAATTTTGCTGCTTGCAAAAACAAAAAATTTGTAAGGCCAACATATTTCTTCGCGATTGTTTGGCCCTTTTACACAAAAATCTATGGCAAAATTCCATGGTTCTGTAAACTTTTTTATATGTCTACTTTATAAAAAAAAATCCATTTTTTGTTATTGTTGTCCATTTTACTTCAGAATTTATGAAATGATAAAGGTGTCATTAGTTTATTTGCTTATTTATTTATTTTTCCTGAACATCTGTGTCTATCTGTTGCAGGGGCTTTACATGAATCATCCACGCATATTCAAGATAAGTGATATCACATCTTTTGCTAATACTAATGATATATTTTGTTTACTACTTATAGACTTAAAAAAATCGACTTTATAAAGGCACCATAAATATTCATGGATATTTATCAAATAAGTTTTATGGATATGATTGGTTTCGGCATAAATCCTATAGTATAAGCCTTGGTTTTCTTGAGTCATTTTAATAAAGTGAATTCGTCATTAAGAGGAAAATTGCACTACCTTTGTGTATGCCAATACCACTGCTGCTGCTAGATATGATCTGTGGAACAAACTTACTACAATGGGAGCTCTGTTGAAAGAGAGCTAGATGGTAGGAGGTGATTTCAACATGATAATGAACAGCTATAAGAAATTCGGGGGCAAAAGGGTGGACTCCAATCTCATGAACAAGTTCTTTGATGCTCTTGGTGATGCTAGATTGTTTGATCTGGGTTATTCTGGGTCCAAATTCACTTGGAAGAGAGGGAAGGTGTTTGAGAGGTTGGATAGATGGTGGTTTAATCAAGATTGGTTGTCTAAATACAATGTCTCAAGGACGCAACATTTAAGCAGCTCCAGTTCTGATCACAATCTGACAACTATTGCTTATTTTAAAAAATCTAATGTATATCACTTTAGATATTTTAATATTTGGTCTAAGCATCAATATTTCTTAAGGGTGGTTGAAGAGAATTGGAAACCTCATGTAGTGGGTAATAAGTGGAATGTACTGTTGCAACTCCACAAGAAAATTGCTAATGCCTTGAGAGGTTGGAATTGGAATGCTTTTGGTGATGTGCATAAAAGGGTTAGAGATGCTGAGGCTAAAGTGAGGAGGTTGGAACTCTCTGATGAGGGCGTTGAGGATGTAGGGGAAGGTTTGATAGAGGCACATAAATCAAGTTATTAAATTCGAGGAGGAGTTACTAACAAGAGGCTAGGGAGATTCAGTTTAGGGAAGGAGATAGAAACTCTAAATTTTTTCATGCTTTCATAAAACATAAAAGAAATTTAAATACAATTGTGAGAATAAAGGACAACAATGGCAACTGGATCACTGAACAAAAAGAATTGTGGGAGAGTGTTATGGAGCCATATGTTAAGATGTTTTCATGAGATGGCTCTGTTACTTTAATTGATGAAGCTTTCTTCAGGGAGGAGAGGGATTACATTTGTAAGCTTAATCTTTGTGACCTTCCTATTGAGGAGGAGATATTGTTTGCATTAAGAAATATTAACTGCGATGAGGCAGCTGGGTCGAAGAGTTTCACATCAGACTTAAAAAAAATTGACACCTACAGCCAATAAACTAATATCATGGAAGTATTGATAGAGAAGTAAAAAATAAAAAAAACCTAAAGCAAATAAAGCAATTAATATACATAATGTGTGCGCAAAAAAAGTATGATGAGTTCATGTCGTAATATAATTCCTTCTGACATTTTTGAAGTTTTAGGAGAAACTTGCTAATTAAAAATGTTCAAAAGTAGATTAGAATTGTGTCTCAAAAAAATTTATTGTTAATTGACAAAGCCAAAAGAAGTTTACTTTAATTTTAGGGGATTAATGATTTTTTTTATGGATTTAAGCCACCGTTATTAATAATAGATTGTTGGACACACATAGATTCAAACCAATTAGTTATTGTTAGAACTTCACCCCTTGCTCACCAATTATAAATATGATTTATGTCTATCAGCATTCCTCAAGCTATTACTCAATAAAATAATAACCATGTTTGATCAACAACTTGCCCATCACTTTACATTTGTCATTAGTTGGTATGTTCTCTAACATCACAATGTTGTAAGAAAAATTAGTCATATATGATCCTTACAATGTTAAATGTGTCAAGCTACTAATTATTATCATTAATGAGCTAGTGAATGACAATTATCATTAATCTATCAATCATCATTGCACTATTACTATTATGTGCCAAAATTCCCTTTATTATGTCAACCAAACCATCCCTTAAGATACCACTATTTATAAATTAAATTTTTAACATTTTTTGGTGTATAAGTTGATTCAATGAGACCTAAGTTAGATTTTATCTAACCCATTTACTAAATGAAAAAAAAAAGAGTTTATTTGATTTCATATATATTTCGTAAAGACAATTATCCAATTAGCTCTCAAAGTGGAAAACATAAGTATGAGAAATAAACGAACCAAAATATTATTTAGTTGGCTCGGTTGCACATTTTACTTGGTCAGTTCATATTAATTTTTTAAACATCCAATACCATTTGGTGTTACAAATTTGTTATCCAAACCATCCAAATAAACCAAACAGCCCCCTAGCTATGCATGTAAATACATAAGAACTGCGTGATTTTGTTTTGAAATATAGATTCGATAAGATTGCTTTGGTTTTCGTGTCGAGAGCAGCTTTAAAAAGAAAATTTTTCAAGAGGCTTGATCGTTTGGACATGAATACTAATATTATAATTGTGTTACTTATTCTTATTTTAATTGCAATTTTTGTGTTAAGGGATGTATAACTTTTAATGAAATATTTTATACTTCAAACTTTCTGTAATATTTTCTAATTTAGTTTAGTTGTTAAGTTTGAATTGTTTATGAAACTGTACACTTACAACTACATCCTACAAGTATATTATAGTTTTGATTTCAGAAACAACTGCAGTACAACAGCGTCTCATCCGAATTATCCAAATATATTACTTTCAAGAATTATCCAAATATACTACAACAACTTATCATGTTGCACATTTAAGAACCAATTGTTGCAACACGGGAGGTAGTGATGTCTTGCAGTTTAGATAGTTTGTTAGCAGTCTCATCGATACCGCCTTCAATTAGTACAACATCTTCACAGCTGCTTCTTCAGAAAGCTAGAATGATCTCGAATAAGGCATAAACCTTCACCACATATACATTGAAATAGAAGGACAAAGCAGCCTCTAAAGGGCCACAGCAGCAGGTTCTCCTAGAAGGTCCATAACTTCAGTCTCTTTCGTGACATGATAAAGACACAGAAGATCTTGATCCTTGTCTTCCCTACCTGTGATTGCAACCTCATAATCATCATCTTTCAGAGCTCTATATCCGGTGCAGACCATCTCTCCATGTGTTTGAAGAGCAAGGAAACAGACATAACCCTTCTCCCTGACTGCAGTTGCTGGTGCCTTTTACGCATGTCTGTGTTGAGCCAACGCCCTGCTGGAACCAACCACCGCGACTCTTACGCCGCTTTGCGGCTGACAGTAAGTGCAGCGACAATACCAGCCTTGGCTGGAACGATTTCATAAAAGTGTTTGAATTCTTGGACCATGAGGGTAACTTTCTTGTTGATGAGACGGCTGTGTTCAACACTTCCTTCCATGTCATTAAAGAGTCTAGTAGCTTCTCCAAGAACTCAGGTTTGATGCTTGGGGAAAGGATGGCTGCAAGAAAGTCAGATGGCCACTTCGTCAAGTTCACGTGGAGGATTGAGAATTTTACTTGGTTGAAGGACCTACTAAAGAAAAGGAAGTTCACCGCAGTCTGTGTGAAAGCAGGAGACTCCAAATTGGCAACAGGGACTGTCGCCTCATATTTTATCCCAAGGGTAAAATAATCAACTCCACTTGCATCTCCATTTCAAATATTGTAGTATTTGTTGCTCAATATAGTAAAATAAGGAATACTCTTTCCTTACGTAAAGTTTCAGTAATTATGTGCATTATCTGAGTCACATTCGTGAAATAGCAATTGATAATGCCTTTAGTAGCTTTGACATAATAAATCGCCCGAAGTGTTTCCAGTGTTAATGAACGAAAGGTAATAATATAGTCTTTTTTCCATTGTTTTCTTGTTGTTTGATTTAGTAATTAAACCTAGTAAAGATTCTAATGATATAAGATTTTCATGATAAAAAAGTATCATAATTCAGCTGGCTGTTTTTTCTCTTTTTATGATATGCTTCAGTTCAGTCACAGCCACCATGCCACCTCCGAGTTTTCCTTGAGATCACTGACTTCGGAACACAACCAGTGATTGGAGTTGCTTTGTGAGTCACCAGCTGTCAGTTGTGAATCAGAAAATGGAAGAGAAATCATTTACCAAGGAGTCACAAAAATGTTACTCTAAGGCAGCAAAGGATTGGGGCTGGCGTGAATTTGTTACCTTGGCTATTCCAACGCAGCAAAGGAATCTGGTATTCTTGTTCAGGACACTGTTGTGCTCTCAACTAAGGTTCTTATATTGAAGGAAACTTCGATAATGCAAGAATATTGTGCTGCAGAGTCCTTGTCAACAGGAAATTCAGGAATGACCTCTTGTACTCAAATTGATAACATTTCAAAGGGGGGTGCATTTACTTGGAGGGTGGAGAACATCTTATCTTTCAAGGAAATTATGGAAAGTCAGAAGATCTTTAGTAAATTCTTCTAAGCAGGAATTTGTGAGCTGAGAATAGGTAGGTTGATTTCTATCCAATCAGTAATATATGAGTATGCTACACAATTAGTTAATTACACTTCTAAAAAGTTTTACTAGAAACTTGACACAGGTGTCTACGATTCTTTTGATATAATATGCATATATTTGGAGAGTGATCAATAAGCTGGTAGTGATCCTAATGAAAATTATTGGGTTCAGTATACAATGGCTGTGGTTAACCAGAAGAACCCTGCTAAAACTGTGCAGAAAGAATCTTCTATCTCTACCGAAGCAAGGAATAATTCTTTCCTCCAGTTTATGAAGGTGTCGGATATGCTCGAATCTGATGCAGGCTTTCTTTTGCGTGAAAAGGTGGTATTCGTTTGTGAAATCATAGATTTCTGCCCTTGGTTTGATTTTTGTGATCTAGAGGTGAGACTGATTTCAGACTTTTTTCTTGGTTAAATTTGATTACCATCACATCTCCATCATTCCTTTACTATTGAAGAATAGTTTATCATTTACCGCATGAAAGCTATCAAAGTTTTATGGCTATGCTGATCTGGTTTAACAGGATTGCATTTATTTTTTCTAAACATTTATGGTATCAAAGGCAAGAAGCTGCTTGTTCTCTGTAGGTAGGTATCTAATAAATTTTTTTAGTAGATCAATGCTAGGTGTTTGTTATGGGATATTGTCATTTGAAAGTTGTTGAGTGAGATTTAAGCCTTGAAGTCCTGTTGCTTTTGATATTTAAGGTGTATGCTTTAGTGGAAACCACATATTGAGTTCTCTAACTGGTAATTTAAATTCAAACATTTTCATTTATTTTGTTGCAGAATTACTGTTTCAACCAGATCTCCCTGTTCTCTCAATTGATACTTTTTTATGAGACTATTTGGATGGGTGTAAATGATTTTTTTTTTAAATAATAGTGCATTTTGTACCCAATAAAAGTTGTTATGAGTCACAATTACTTCTAGTAATAGTTTGAAAGTCTGTTTCATCATAGATTTTTAAATAGGGTAAATTACTTTGCCTTTTATGATCGTAAAAAATAAACTTATGTTTGTTAGATTTGTGTTTCAAGGGCCTTTAACATGTATTTTTTCTTTCTAGTGATATTTCTGTTGTGAGGACTTCATGTATGGTGTGAAGTCAAACCA